TATCACCTCCTGGAATGGAGATAAGAAACACCCTAACCTTTGGAATAGAAACTTTGGAATAGAAATTGACAGGATTAAAATCAACTGGTATAAATACAGATGTAACAAGACAACAGGAGACAGAACCTAGGGACAGAACCTAGAGACAGGACTTGGCTGGAGATCCTAGACAGAACCTAGAGACAGGCCATGGCAAAAGATCCTGGACAGAACCTGGCTACAGAACTTGGCTGTAGAACCTAGACAGAACATGGCAGGAGAACCTGGATAGAACATGGCTGGAGAACCTGGAGAACCTGGCTGAAGAACCTAATGAGAGAACATGGCAAGAGAACCTACACAGAACCTGGCTGGGGATCCTAACCAGAACCTGGGACCAGAACTTGGCCAGAACTTCACTGGAGATCCTGACCAGAACTTGGCTGGAGATCCTGGCTAGAGATCCTGGCTAGGCTGCTGATCAACTGAACGCTGTCTCCGTGTCATTCCTTCTTCGCCGACTCCGTCCACACCTTTGGGGACCCCTGGACCTGCTGGGGATGGACCCCAGCAGCCTCCTTAGTATTCACAGATGGTTCCTCTAATGGTAGGGCAGTAATAATCATTGACTCAATAACCCATGTTCAACAAACCCTAGAGACGTCAGCACAGAGAACAGAGCTTTTGGCAGACATTTATGCTTTTGAACAATTGCAACAGGTTCCTTTTAACTTGTACACTGACTCTCAATATATAGTTAAATTATTTCCTCATATTGAGACCGCCTCTCTCCCACAAGGAAGAACAGTCATTTTCTCTTTGTGAACTCAGCTACAGACTTACATTCATAAACAAAAAAAGGCTTTCTATATTGGACATATTAGAGCTCATTCCTGCCTACCAGGATCCTTAAGCGAAGGAAATTATCAGGCAGATTTACTAACTCGCCCAGTAGTTTCTACAGCTCTAGAAGAAGCCGGGCGGTCTCATGCCATTCACCATCAAAATGCTTCTGCTCTCCATCTATATCATCGCATATTTAGAGAAGCTGCTCGAAGTATTGTGCGTGACTGTGGCCATTGTCCTACTCATTTTCCTAGCCCTGCTACTGGAGTTAATCCAAGAGGACTTAGACCCTGTGACTTATGGCAGATGGATATTACTCGTGTCCCATCTTTTGGCAAACTTTGCTATGTGCATGTTTGTATTATTACCTTTTCTCAATATATATATACCTTTTCTCATGTTATCCTTGCTTCTGCACATACAGGAGAAGCCTTTAAAGATGTAAGTCAACATTTATTCCAATGTTTTTCTTACCTAGGAATACCAAGGGCACTTAAAACAGACAATGGGCCTGCCTATAACTCTAGAGCTTTTAAAAACTTATGCTCTACATTTGGAATCCCACATACTACAGGAATACCCTACAATGCTCAAGGCCAAGCAATAGTAGAAAGGGCTCACCAAACTTTAAAAACACAAATTAAAAAATTACAAGAAAATGAGTTTAAATATTCCTCTCCTCATCATGTTCTACAACATACTCTATTTGTAATTAATATACTAAATGTAGATTCTGAGGGAAATTCCCCAGACATCGGAACCCTGATCTAACTAAACCTAAAGCCCTCGTCAAATGGAGAGACTTGCTTACAGGAGCCTGGAAGGGACCTGATGTACTTTTAACTGGGGGAGAGGATATGCTTGTATATTTCCACAGGACGCAGACTCACCTGTGTGGATTCCAGACCGTCTAGTCCGACCTTATGTCTCACCGCCCTCCGTGTCCACCTCACCCTCCTCCTCCCAGGTATCATCCATATCGGCCGACCCAGAGGGCACAGCTGACTCCTCCCCAGACACCGACACCACCATCAAGCGCGACCCTGATGGACCCTTCGATCCAGCCCTTCAATGCGCTGACACTTCAGGAAGCCCGTAGCCAGCGATGCCACCTGCTAGCCAGATCAACAAGGACAACCAAACCACCGACTTGGGGACAGGTGTAATCCTTGACTGAAGAGGCCAGCAACCTTCTACAGGAACAAGACTCTGTGTGCACTCCATCCACTATGTTTATTGCTATGCTCGCTATCATTGCTTGTCAGTCTTCTTCCGAATCTTAAACAACCCAATCCGAGAGGTGGCCGCTGATTTACACGTGCTATCATTTAAAAAATAAAAAAGGGGGAATTTGCCGGAAGCCGGTCCATCCTTGCTGCTTGAAACAGTCCCTGCAGGGAAGAAACATCTCCACAGCATATGTTTCAAGGGACCTGGAGTATATGGCATACTGTCCTTAATATGTTTGCTCCCCTCCTTAGCTCTATGTGTTTTAACCAAGGTTACCTCTCCAAGAAAGGTTGTTTCCCCAGGTGGGGATTTTTCCCTGGAGTTAGGGATTAACAGGACTAAGGAAGGGAATAAAACCCCTTAACTAAGTGCCAGGCGGGTAATTAATCACTTTGACTACGAACGATCACGCTTAAACTACATAATATTTACTTAAGATAATCTCCTTCAGTTACTTCCTTGTAGCTTAACAGAACAATAGAGTATTGACCTTGGAATGGAGATAACAACTGCCCTAACCTTTGGAATAGAATGGATAGGATTAAAATCAACTGGTATAAATACAGATGTAAAGGAGAATAAAGACAGAACCTGGCTGGAGAACCTGGCTAGAACCTGGCTAGAGAACCTGGCTAGGCTGCTGACCAACTGAGCGCTGTCTCCATGTCATTCCTTCTTTGCCAACTCCGTCCTCACCTTTGGGAACCCCTGGACCTGCTGGGGTTGGACAACAACACCCTAACTTAGCTCTGGTGCCGTGTCACATATAGAAATTTTTTGATATTTGCAACCATAGGAAAACAAAGATTTATATTTTCAATATTCATTTTATATATTTTAATGCCATTTAACAAAGAAAAATCAACCCAAAAAATGAGTTCGTTTGTCACCTCTGACACGCGTGTCATTGGTTCGCCATCACTGTTCTAGTAGGTTGACGTAAACTTCTGAGGTTCCTTTATTCCGAAAGCATCAACCAGATCTCTGCCTCTTTCTGCACTTGGCATTTTTTTTTTCTGTTTTAGTATCTGTGTCCAAATTTCCCCTTTTTATAAGGATACCTTCATATTGGATTAAGGTCCACCCCAATGACCTTATCATAGCTATTTACATTTGCAATGGCCTTATTTCAAAATAAGGTCACATTCTGAGGAACTGGGAGCTAGGACTTCAACATATAAATTTTGGGGATACAGTTCACCCCAAAATAAATGGAAAGCTTGAGAGGAGTGAGAGTGGAGGAAGAAGTGACATGCAGAAGCTCATATCAGACTGTCACTCTTTCTTGACCTTTCTGTTTTCTATCCCCAGCATCTCTGTTATGACTAAGTGAGGATTCCCCTCTTCCAATTTTTAGAAATTTATATTTTTTCCCTGAGAACTGGTGGGGATCTTTTTCTATTGCCTGTTTTTAAAACTGGTTTGAGTCCTGGCTGGTGTGGCTCAGTTGGTTGAGCTTTGTCCCAAGCACAGAGAGGTCACCAGTTTGATTCTCGGTCAGGTGAAATGCCCAGGTTGTGGGTTTGATCCCCATTAGGGGGCATGCAGGAGGCAGTAGATCGATGTTTGACTCTACACTGATGTTTCTGTCTCTGTCTTTGTCTCTCTCTCTCTCTCTCTCTCTCCTTGTCTCTCTCTCCTTGTCTCTCTCTCTCTCTCTCTCTCTCTCTCTCTCTCTCCCCCCCTCCCTCTCTCTCTCCCCCCTCTTTCTTCCTCTTACTCTAAAAATCAATTTAAAAAAATGGTTTGATAGGTATGGTCCCTCCTCCACCCCAGCCCTCTCAAAATACTTTGAAGTGATTTGACCACTGAGATCAGGACTCAAGTTTCTGTTCTTTCATTTTCGTTTCTGTTCTCCTTTTTCTCCCATCTTTACCCAGTGCTAAATGTGCAATAGGAACTTAGTCAAGGTTTTTTTTAGTTTAAATGAATTCAGACGATCAGCCCACTACCCCCACAACAAAATGGAGATCCATGCAGTGGAGTAAGTTACCATAGTTTATTAATATTTATGAACAATACATTTTCCAGAGCACAGCATTATAAATATTAATATTAGAATCAGTGGAAATAATGGGTACAGATCAAATGTTTTTAAGGTGATAATTTCTCAGAAGGTTATATTTTCAGGTCATTGAAGATTATAAGCAATCGGTTTGGACAAATAATTTTATTGTTTTTATTTTTTTAAAAGAATTTTGTGGACAAATACTTTTTAAAGACCTCTCTTGCTCTGTGAAAGTGACCCGATATAAATGAATAAAATATATTGCTTTAGTTTAACTGAAAATAGATATATTTCTCTTGCAGAATTCTAATAATCTTCTTATTCACTTTGAAAACCTTAGAGTAAAATTACCAGTGATCTTTGGAACTTGCTACATTGAAATTGACACAGTTATCCCAGTAATACTTTAAAAATTTTATAAAGCTTTTTACAGTATGTTATTAAAATCCTTCTTTTAAAATAGTTATCTTCGGACTGTCTTACAATACAGGGTTTTATTTGTGTATGTTGATAGTCTGAAGCCATTTTGCATAATGCTGGTTGTATGATACATGGGAGCAGGAGTGATAGGCAGTAAGTGTGATCACCAGTTATGTTGAAGCTTGTTCCCTTTAAAGCATGCAAGAGAAAACTAGCAGTTATCCATCCCTAAAGCTGGGTAAAATGAATAAAAAGTGATGGAAACCCACAACCACCAAATCATTATGGCTTTGCTGACAATTTAATTATTTAATTCCCAACTATTATTTCAACAGATTTAAACATTTTTTTCTTCAACTTAGCTAAATCAAAGTCACTTCTCTTATACAGAAGTTAAGCCCATCGCCACTTCATCTGAGGATAGTAAAACCCTTTTCACTTCCACGTGTGGGGGAAGCACCCAGCCAAAGGTCATGGTACACACACAGGGAAAAATAAGTGCAGGTGCTCTCTGAAGTCAGTATTCTTCATGGAATGGATATTCAGGATGATCACACAAACTGCCAAAACAAGGGAAAAACTTTCATTCCAAAGTCGCACAGCTGTATGTGTTACTAGCATCTTTTGACAATTTCAGCGACCACTCCCTCTCTCTGTTAATCATTCCTTAGGTTTCTTACCCACCTCCTCCCAGGTTTCATCAAGCCAGCACTTTACTAAAGCCCTGGAGGTTTCAGTGTGTGTGTTTGGGCATAGAGGGGGCTGGTTGCCTCTACACCAACATTTTGCTCAGAACCAAAACACAGGAGGTGAGAGAAGCCTGCCTCTTTCCAACTCCTCCTTCCCATCTGCTGTCCTGATAGCGGAACCACATAGGCACTTCTCTTCACAGCTCTGTCACCAAGCAAGGTCACCCCCTTCTCTGCACAGTGCTTCCTCCCCCTTCTCACTAGGCCTCCTGAGAGTTGATAGTTTGAGATCTAGAAGGTAATGACCAGCAAAGGAAGTTTCTGCTATAATGATGACAGTAATGATGTTGAACCTGTCTCTTAAATAGCAATAGCATAGTACTCATACAAGTACTATGAGCTTTCAGTTAAAATATACATGGACACAGACAATAGGGTCATGAAGGCCTGGGGCAGGGGCCAGGTCAGGCAAGAAGAGATTGATGGGGGAGAAAGGGGACATATGTAATAATTTCAATAATAAAGATTTAATTTAAAAAATTAAACTATATATAAAAATAAAATACAAATTAAATTAAAACAGAAAAAGGCTGTGAAATCCAGTCAAGAATAAACTGGATGAAAAACAAAAAAGACTCATGGCCCAACGTGCCTAAATAATACATTTTTTTTGACCCACGGGGCCTAATATTTGTTTCTCCTTGATGATTTTTCTATTCCTGGTATGATGACTTAGTTTTTCAGTGTTTCTAGAATTAGGTATTAAACATTTCAAATGTCAAAATAAATAATATTACCAACTAATTGTCTATAAAAATAATCAGTACATTGGTGGATGACTACATCCTACTATCTCTTCCTAATGTAATATTTATTCAATAAAAACCATTTATTTTCAAAAGCTATTAATGAACCTACATGTTTTTTATTTCTGAGTTTGTTTATTCCTTCATTTTTGCAGTTAGATGTCAAAATATTTTTCCCTGGAATATTCACAGTAGGAAGCTATTTTATTCATTCAGAAATGAATTCAGAAATTTGATATTAATACAGTCACAGCAGTTTTTGACTCTTGAAATACTTGGTGTCCAAAGTATCCAAAGTATATGAATTATTTTTATGAGCATTTATATTGCTCACTTAAAGAGAAGATTGTAAAGAGAAGATGACTATTCAGGTGATCTGAAGAACTGGAAATATTAATAAAGCATGATTAAGAAGAAAAAATCATGTGTATGTATATACATACCATGTGTGTGTATTCACTTTTTATTTTCAAGGACCAATAATATTTAGAAAATAAAGGGCTACCTCATTAAATAACCGAATCTGGCAACATTTCAAGAAGTGTTAGGAATTTTACTTGTAGATAGATGGAGCTAGAATGGTGGAACTAGAAGCTTCAAATCTTATAGGTGAGCATTCATCTAAAACTAATTTCTTGATTAGTCAAAGAACATATATACATAGCCCATGGATACAGACAACAGTATGGTGATGGCCAGAGAGAGGAGGAGGGGTGGTCTGATCTGGGTAGGTGTGGGTAAAGGGGGGAATGGGTACATCTGTAATAGTGTCAACAATAAATAAAATAAAACTAGTTTCTTGGCTCTCAACTTGATGCTCTTTCTACTACACTCCCATGTATCTGTCTCAGGAAGTATTTTTTATTGATTCGCGCATCACTTTGATTTTTAGGAAGAAATACATATGGTGTTTGAATAATTGTGGTGTGATTGTATTAATTTGAATCGTATTATTTATACACTATGACGAAATTCTTCTTAAGGTCTTTAGCCTGCCATGCCTTAACCTGTCATAGGATGTGATATAAATGCCAGAAATCCTCTTTTAAATAAAAATGTAGATTTATAGGGAGTTACTAGAATGAATGTAATTTACCCAGACCAATTTCATATTCAGAATATACTGCCCAGTGGCCTTTAGCCTTGTGCTTTCTGGGGACATAGGTCCAGGTTCATAAGAGCCCACTTGGTGATGCTTTTCAATCTAACACCACTGGGTGGTACCTGACTAAGGATCCCCCAGAACTCACTTGTCCAGACCCGCTAAGCGGAGATCTCTATTCAAGGCTTCGATGCTCTTCATTTCTTCTTCAGTGAGGGAAAAGTCAAAGATCTGAAATTACAGAAATAAAAGACAGACATTTAAAAAGATAGAAAATGGGTCAAGGTTGGGATTATGGAGTGGGACCAGCAATTGGAAACTTTCTAAGATTTATGAACATCTCTGAAAATGTCTAAGAGGAGTTGGTCTAGTGCTGGGGGTCCACCTAATGGCAGTGGAACAGGAATTCTCTTCTGCACTTTGTCTTAAGATAATTCTGCTAGGGACATCTTACAAGAAATTTTAAGTGCTGTGAAACAATGTATGTTCATGACATCTGAAGAATTCTTATTATTTCTGGATAAGATGCTGAACTTTTGATTCTGGACTAGAGCCCGTGTACACTTAAAAAAAAATATTCACTTATCTCTAAATTTGCTCTTGTACTTTCAAAAAAATTTGTTTTGTCCTTTTAATCACTTCTCTCATTATTTAAAAAATATTTCTATTGCTTTCAATGAGGAAGGGCGAGGGAGGTAGAGAAATATCAATGATGAAAGAGACTTGTTGATTGTCTGCCTCCTGCATGCTCTGCAGTGGTGACTGAGCCCGCAACCCAGGCATGTGCCCTGACTGGAATCAAATTGTGACCTTCTGGTTCATAGGTTGATGCTTAATCCCTGAGCCACACTGGCAGTGCTGAACAGTAAAGTTTTGAATCCATGAACACTTTGGTTTCAGATACCTCAAAATTTGTAGTTTTTGTTGTTGTTGTTTGTTAATCCTCATCCGAGGATATTTTTCTATTGATTTTTAGAGAGAGTGGAAAGGAAGGGGAGAGAAAGAGAGAAACATCGATGTGAGAGAGACACATCAATTGGTTGCCTTCACATCAGCCCTTGACCAGAGCCGGGAATCAAGCTCTTGACCGGAATCAAACCTGGGACCCTTCTGTCGCCAGACTGATGCTCAATCCATTGAGCCAAACCAGCCAGGGCCTAATTTGTAGTTTTTTTAAAATAAAATTTTTGACGAGCCTACACATTAGTCATGCAGTGGCTCTCTCTTTTAAGATGGCTAAAAACAGTGTCAATGACTTTTTACTGTGAGGAATTTGGGAAAGTGTTAAAATACTGTTGGTAGTTGATATTACTGTCTAGTATTCTTTCTTCTCTTGGCTAATAACAGAATCCCACTTTTTCCTTTTATGAACTTCCCTTCCACCATCTAGTAGGGCTGTTTGTCACATGACCTCAACTCCAGCAATGAAATAGGGATGACTGTCTACTTAAGGATTAATGCAGCTGGTATCCTTAAGTTGAAGCAAACGGTCATTTACCGTTTTGAAAAACTAGAATTTTAAGTATTATGCTAAATCTACTCTGGAAAAACAAAGCTGGGATGATAACATGATTTGCTGAATGTTTTGAGCCCACTGTTGACATCTACTGTTCAGAAAAACAATAAATTTATTGCAAAATATGACAATGTACCCAGTCACTCAAGAACTCTGATGGAGATGTACAATGAGATTAATGTTTTCAGGCCTGCTAACACAACATCCATTCTGCAGCTTATGGGTCCAGGAGTAATTTTGACTTTCAAGTCTTATTATTTAAGAAACTAGTGGCCCGGTAAATGAAATTTGTGCATGGGGGAGGGTGTGTTCCTCAGACTGGCCTGCACCCTCTCCAATTTGTGACCCCTCAAAGGATGTCCTACTGCCAGTTTACAGAAATTGGCCTAAACCAGCAGTTGGACATCCTTCTCGCAATCCGGGACTGCTGGCTCCTAACCGCTCACCTGCCTGCCTGCTTGCCTGATTACCTCTAACCACTCTGCCTGCCGGCTGCTCACCCCCACCTGCCCCCCCCGCTGCCTGCCTGCTTGCCCCAAATTGCCCCCCCACCAGCCTTGTCACCCCAACTGCCCCCCCTGCTGGCCTGCTCACCCCTACCTTCCATCCCCACTGGCCTGCTCATCCCGTACTGTTCCCCTGGTGGACTGCTCACTCCAAACTACCCCCCTCACTATCCTGATCACCTCCAACTGACCCCCACTGATGGCCTGCTTGCCCCCAACTCGCCCCTCTGCTGGTCTGCTTACCCCAACAGCCCTGACCCCCACCAGCCTGATCACCCACAACTGCCCTCCCCTCTTGGCCTCTAACCACCTCTACCTCAGCCCTGCCACCATGGCTTTGTCCAGAAGAACATCTGGAAGGTTTCGTGGAAGGTCTCCCAGTCTAATTAGCATATTACTCTTTTATTAGTATAGATATATTTGTCTATAAATATGGTTATGATTGCAGATATGAGTAGGACCAGGTAAAATTTTATAGAATGGGCCTCTTATTACAGACTAGAGGCCCAGTGCATGAAATTCGTGCACTGGGGGGTGGGGTTCCCTCAGCCCAGCCTGCCGCTCTCACAGTCCGGGAGCCTTCAGTGGATGTCCTACTGGCAGCCACAGTCTGGCAGCAGAGTCGTCCTGTGTGTGTGTGTGTGTGTATATATGTGTCCGCTGGGGGCCTGCCCCCAGCTGCATTGGAGGCTCAGAGCAGGCGCTGTGTGTGTGTGTGTGTGTGTGTGTGTGTGTGTGTCTGCTGGGGGCCTGCCCCCAGCCACACCGTGGAGGCTTGGAGCAGGTGACCCTCTCCGTTGATCTCTCAGGCTCCGGGCCTCCACTGCGTGTTTTTCTCTCCCTTGAGCTGTGGCCAGGATGGGGTGCTGCCAGCAGGCTGCGCATTCCTGCTCATGGATCACCGAATCACTGCAGAGACGGGGGGCAGGCCCTGCTGGGTGCTGCCTGTGGGGAACTTTCCTGCTCTGGGATGGCCATGGTGATCCCAGGAGCAGGCCCACCTGGGGGCAGGCCACCATCTGCACTTGACTGCTCTGGAATCACCATGGCGATCCAGGAGCAGGCCCACCTGGGGGCCGCCTTCCCTCCGCACTTGCTTGCTCTGGGATCGCCATGCGGTCCCAGCTGGCAGTGGGGCTTAGGCGGCACACGGGGGTCCCAGCTGGGGCAGGGCGTAGGTGACGCAATTGCACCGCCTAAGCCCGGCCGCCCAGGGGCGCACACGGGACCCGGATGGCATCTGGCCTTGGCCAGCCCTGCCTGCAGTGTGCTAATCAGCCGCCATTTTTGATGGTGGTTAATATGCATATGGTGCTGATTAGCCAATGGGAAGCATAGCGAAGGTACAGTCAATTACCCTTTTTGTCTTTTATTAGATAGGATGGTTTTCCATGTATGCATTTTTTCTAAAGAAGTAAAAATTACTTTAAAAAATGTTTCAGGAAGACTTTGAGAAATTTACAGTATCTGCTTTTCTCCCAAGAAAGTTGTCACTTTTATGCCAGAGTTAGAATTATTTGTATGCTTTGTATGTCAGCATTGTGCCACTGTGACTGGGAGGCACATTTTCATGGAGGATTTTCCCACTCTTGAGTAAATTAAAAAAATTTTTTTCTTTTTATTTAAACTTTCTTCTATAACTGTTTTCTTGTTACTTAAAAGCCAGTTTTTTTGAAACTACTTCCAAAGCTTTTTAAGCTGGATATGTCCTTGGACTGAATTTATAAATTAGAATTGAGCCCTGCCAGTGTGACTCAGTGGTTTAGCATCGACCTATGAACCAGGTAGTCACAGTTTGATTCCAGGTCAAGCCACATTCCCAGGTTGTGGGCTTGTCCCCAGTATGGGGTGTGTAGGAGGCAGCCGATCAATGATTCTCTCTCATCATTGATGTTTCTATCTCTCTCCCTTTCCCTTCCTCTCTGAATCAGTAAAAATATATTTTAGAGAGAGAGAGAGAGAGAGAGAGAGAGAGAGAGGAGAGTATATATGTTTGTAAATAAGAAAACATGTATTTGATGCTCTTAGAAAGTCTTATTTTCTTTCATTAAAACTTGTGCAGTATAGGGAACTCCATAGATTCTCTTAATTTGAAGAAAGAGGGAAAGGTACTAATTCAGAGTTCCTTGGGAAAATGTGTCACATATATTTTTTATGTTTATTTTTTTAAATCAAAAATTGAAATATTTTCTATTCAGAAAATATATTTGGATCTAAATATCTTCTATAATTTTAACCTTAAAATACCAATTTAAATATTTTAAAAATGGTTGGGATGTTTGTTTTTTTAAATAAGTTAGGTTACTGGAGTTCTAAATGTTACTGGATCACCTGGGGTAATTTTCTGATTGGAAAATTAAAAATTATAGTCAGAGGGGAGGACAGGAGAATTTTTAAAGAACATATTCAATTTATTTTAGAAGCTGAACCTTTCTTATCATGTGACTTGTTTTGTATGTTTGTTAAACTATATTATCACATAAGCATTGCTGCTATTGGGACAAACAGTGACAGTTGATTCTGATCATTTGAATGTCCACTGTCTGTTTTAATTTGTCTGCTCATTTTGACTCTGTCATATGCTCAAACTTCAGTGGAAGTCATGAGAACCTATTATTTTTGCCTGGTCCCTCCTTTACGTTGGAAATATTCTTTTTTACTCAGAGGGACCTTAACTTTGATGTAAGGAAATGTTTCCTTTGCCAACTGTTTTCTTCCTTGCCAAGTAAGAGAGTTGTTGTGAACTTTTCAGTGATGCCTTGCGAGAGTCCATGGCCAGCTTGGCTTTGGCGGGTTCAAAGACTTGGAAGGAGGGCTGATGCGCAAATGATACACACATGACGGAATATTAATTTTTATAATTATCTGGGGAACCAGAGAATAACTCAACTAAAGAAGTCGAGTTCTCCCTGTTGCTCTTTTCCCAGCCACTTTTATTAGCTAGAATACACAATTACCTTTAGGAATGCAAACAGACATATCAATGGTAATGTTTAGCAAACAGTAAGATTGCCAGGTCTTGGGGGAATTTGCTTTAGACCATTGAGTCAGCAGCAGGTAATAAAATGTAGATATTCACCCTGTGAATATCAAAAGGAGTCCTGGTTATCCTTCTGCCAGACTCCTCACATTTATATCAATTACTGTTGACCTTGGTCTGCAGCAATGCCTTTCCCAGGATATTTGCAGATGTGGTTGGAAAAGTAATTTCATCCCCGACCTTTGCATGTCAGGTGCTGGGGTACCGGGGTGCCGCCTCGCCTGCGCCCCGGCTCTCCTATCCCGATGCAGCTAACTCTCCCTCTGATCACCATGGCGACCACTGGACCGCAGGCTGGGCGGAACCCCGGGGCGCCCGGGGGTGCTGCCTGGCCTGCGCCCCGGCTCTCTCTCCCTTCGATCACCATGGTGACCTCTGGGCCGCAGGCCAGGCAGCACTCCCGGACCCCCAGGGGTGCTGCCCGGCCTGTGCCCTGGCTCTCCCTCTGATCGCCATGCGATCACGGGGCCAAAGGCGAGGCGGCAATCCTGCAGCTCTTGCCTGCTGCCTGGGTTTCTGATCACTGTTCTTCCATCGTTCCCCTTTCACCTCCCATCATTGTGCCTGCATAATGTGATGGCAGTTAATTTGCATATCGCCCTAATTAGCCCAATGGGAAGCATAGCAGAGGTATGGTTAATTACCCTTTTTGTCTTTTATTAGATAGGATATGTTTCCTAAGGCTATAACTGCTATAGGTAGGGATTCTTCTGAGGGATCTGGACAAAGTAAATTGAAAACCTGGAAAGGATTCACATTGTAGATGCCTTTAAGAACATTCCTGATTCATGAGAAGAGGTAGAAATATCAACATTACAGGAGTTTGGAAGAAGTTGATTCCAACCCTCAGTGATAACTTCAGTGGAGGAAGTAATCCCAAATGTGGTGGAAATAGCAAGAGAACTAGAATCAGAAGTGGAGCCTGAAGATGTGACTGAATTGCTGCAATCTTATGATAAAACTTGAATGAACGTGGAGTTGCTTTTTATGGGTGAGCAAAGAAAGTGGTTTCTTGAGATGAAACTTACTTCTGGTGACTATGCTGTCGATATTGTTGAAATGACAACAAAAGATAATTACATAAAGTTAGTTCATAAAGCAGGGCCTGAGAGGATTAACTCCAATTTTGAAAGAAGGTCCGTGGGTAAAAATGCTATCAAACAGCCTCACAGATGACAGAGAAATTGTTTATGAAAGGAAGAGTTAATCAAAATGGGAAATTTTTTTTTTTTATTTAAAGAAATTGCCACAGCCACCCCACCCTTCAGCAACCACCATTCTAATATTTTTAGAACTTTAGCCCATCAACATTAAGGCAAGACCCTTCACCAGCAAAAAAATTGCGATTCACTGAAGTCTTGAATGCTGGTTAACATTTTTTTAGCAATAAATTATTTTTAAATTAAAGTATGTATCCTTTTTAGACTACTTAATAGACAGTATAATGAAACATAACTTTTATATGTACTGGGAAAGCAAAAAATTTGTGTTAGTTTATTGCAATTCACGCTTTATTTTGGTGGTCTAGAAAGGAACCTGTAATATTTCTGAAGTATGGACGTAATGTACAATCAGCAAAGCACTTCCCAAAGTGCTAGCAATAGTTACAAATTCAGCTAAAATTAAATGCAGATATCAGCAGAGTGGGTCAGGGAGTTGGTATAAAATAAAATATGAAGGCATTACAAGTTTCTTTTTTAGTCTAAACAAAATTCTTTGAATAAAAAATATCCTACTTTTTACGTTTTCAGAAGCAGTTCTCTTACCTGAAAGTTTTCTTTGATCTTTGCAGGGTCAAAGCTTTTAGGAAGGACAACTATCCCTCGCTGGATGTTGAAACGCAAAGCAACCTGAGCTGCAGTCTTATTGTACTTTTCCCCCAATGATTTTAGAAGTTCATCCTCTAACAAAGGTTCGAAGTATGTAGTCAACCTTAAAAAAATAAAAACATGCATGATATTTAGCTAGATCACTGAGAACCAGTGGTTAATCAATCCTCCTTCTCTGTCTTCCCATTCACCTGGTAACCTACCAGGACATTTCAGGTCACCTGTAAGCAATTTCTGTGATTGCCGAGTCCTCAATGAAGAGTTGTTTTTAGTGTGGGAAGATCAAGAGAGGCAAATTTATATTGCTGCCTTTTTGAGAAAGTAAATATGTTCTGATGTTTCTTATAGAGAGGGCTGGGCTGAAAGAAGACATATGTGAGAAGGCAGGTAGCCTGAAGTGGAATAAGTAGAAATACAACTCTTGGAATCATAATAGAGTAGAAAAATTTCTACTTTGGTCTGTGAAACACATCATAGTAGAAGTGTTGCCATTGAATACAGAGAAAAACAATTCTAAAATTTCAGAATTTAGGCCATAGAAACTCTATCAAATAATAACTAAACTAGCATTTATGGATCACCTCTGTATTTTAGGCACTGTTAGGTAATTTTATACATGTAGTATAATCAATTCCTATAACATCTAAGTGAGGAAGGTTTTATTAGCTCAGTTTGGATATAGGGAGAATGACCTGAAGAGTTTAAGTAAGTTTCTTAAGATTACACAGCCCAATAGAATCATTTCAATAAATAAGAAAATTCACATTAGCCTCATACTCTACATTAAAGGAAACACTTTCTGAAGAGACATATAGTATTACTTACGAGAGTGGTTGCCCAGATATCCCCAAAGGAGTACATGAAACCATGAGAATGTCATGTTGTTGGCAAAATTCCAGGAGTTTTCTCTGGGTGAAATATGGATGGCACTCCACCTATGTGGTTGCATTGGAGAGCAGAGCACAAAATTTAGGCCTTGTAGATGAATGCAATTTTAGGTAGTTTAAAAAAACTTTAAATAAACTTCATTTTAAAGTATTATGGATAGTGAGACAAATTCTAAATATTTTTCCTAACAAGGAATCTTACATTGTTTATATACTGGCGAAGTTAATTACAACAAGGTTAGTAAGGGCACCATCTGTGAATTAAATATAAAATAATGGGGGTGGGGGATTCAATTTTGTGTCCCTATCATAGTTTCAAACTTGAAATGAACAGAATCAGTTATTTATAATAAAGATCCTAGAAAATACAATTTCCATAACAAACAGTCTCAATGTTCAGATTAGTCTTGGTAAGTAGAAGCGACATGTTACAGAAGCCCTCTGCTCTAGCTATCAGACATCTAAGAATATTTTCACAAGAGGAAGAACATGTTTGAAACTAAATTTAAAGATAAATTTTATTTTCTTGGATGAGAGTTCTATTTATTTTTTTTACATTCAACATTGAAAACAGTAAGTATGATACAGAGAGGACAGAGGCAAAATCTTTGGGAGTATCACTGTGGATGCTGCAAACTGTTGAAGGTGGGGCTTCAGAAGGGCTGCAGTATTGGTAAGCCATCTCTACAGTATTGCTGTGCTCTGCTTTCAGACACCACGCAACACATAAACAGGCTCAGGCTGTGATCTTCCAACAGGTCTTGCCTCCCTCGTTGGATATGTTTGTGAAGCTGATCAACATTCTTGTGCCACATGAGGCGACACACTGTCAAATTTTTGCTCTCTTTTTCATTCTGAGATAAAAAGTTACCATCTTTCTCTGTATATTTGTAAGAAACCTATTGTCATTTCAACATTTAAATGACAGACTATTGTTCTTGGGGGTGTAGGAAGGAGATGTGTTGCTGAGGGAAAAAGGAGGAATATGGGGATGGATGGAGGTCAGCTAGGAAGTCAAAGGTTGCTACTCTGTATACCTGAGAGCATATTGTATAGTGTTAGCTTAGGTGTCAGTTTGGAAGTGGTACTTGTAAAATAGCCACTTCCATTTTAGCTGTGGGCTACAGTGATGATGTAGGTAATAATTCATTCTTTCTGTCATGGACTCATGCCAGACTTTTTAAGTTACTAAAACACTAATTTCTCAGTGAGCCAAATCAGAGAAAAGGGGGCTTTGGAGACAGTTTCAAGGGGTTAGCCCAGGTTGAGCTGCCTCTGGCCATTGCTCCCCTGATTGCAGGTCTCCTGGCGTCCCCTAGAGTTTAGGAGATGCACGCCTGAGAGGGAAGAAGAAGGGGAAGGGAAAGGTGCTGGCATGCTCTTAGGAGGGGGAGCATGTCATCACACTTAAATTTCCATTTCTGTTATTATTAGCACAATTACACATTTTCATATGTTTACTAATCTTGCAAATTGTCTTTTGCAAATTTCTATTCCTTACTTTTGCCCATTTTCCTGTTGATTCTTAGTATTCTATTTTTTCATTGATTTTTATTAGACTTTTAATTCACAAGGATATAAACCTCTTTAATATTATATTTAAAAATACAATTATCTATATTTACTTGCTTCTGGTATTTTTACATTTAACATTTTTATACTATTAAATTTAACATCTTCTTTATAATTTTTCCATAGCTTACCTTTCTGTCCATAGCTTCAGAGAACTGAAATTCTTGTGTAGTATTTACAATAACTTTGTCTTTCTCTTTAAATCGTGGGGACATTAATTTTGGAGTATGGTATGAGGCAAAGATCTATATTGTTTCCACATAACTAGGCATTTCCCCACACCATTAGTTATAGGGTTAAATAGTTTATTAAAAAACACATCCATTTGACACTAGTTTTTCCTATTATATTTTGCATAAAATTTTTATTATACTTGGGCCTTGTTATTTTGTACTTATCTGTACTATTGGTTCTTGCACTAATCTTACATTATTGTAAAAGTCTATATATCTTTTTATCCACATAGTCCAGCTTGTTGTCATATAGTTGTTCATAGTATCTTCTTACAATTCTTTGTATATCTATGATGTCAATGGCTACTTCACTGCTTCTATTTCTAATTTTATTTATGTGGGTCCTCTCTATTTCTTGATGAGTCTGGCTAACAGTTCATTAATCTTGATTTTCTTTTCAAAGAATCAGCTCTTGGTTTTGTTGACTTTACTTTTTTCTTATTTTTTTTAGCTACTATGTTATTTATTTCTGCTCTAATCTTTGCTATTTCATCCCTTTTACTTACTCTGGGCTTTTCTTGTTTTCTTTCTAATTCTTTAAGTTGTAGGGTTAAATAGTTTATTATTAATTTTTCTGGTTTTTTGAGGTAGGCCTAGTAGTGCTATGAACTTCTCTCTCAGGAGTCCTTTTGCTGTGTCCCAGAGATATGGGGTTATTGTGTTTTCATTTTCATTTATTTCAAGGACGTTTTTTATTTCTCTCTTGATCTCATTGGTAACCCATTCATTGTTTAATAACATGCTATTTATGCTCCATGTGTTGGAATATTTTGGGGTGTTTTTACTGTAATTGATTTCTAATTTCATTCCACTGTGATCTGAGAAGATGCTGGATATGATTTCCATCTTCTTGAACCTGTAGAGACTTGTTTTGTGTCCTAACATGTGGTCTGTCTTTGTGAATGACCCATGTGCACTTGCAAAGAATATATATTCTGAAGATTTGGGGTGAAATATTAACTAGATCCATGTGATCTAGTGTGTCATTTAGAGTCACGGTTTCCTTATTAATTTTTTGTTTGGAAGATCTATCCGGTGAAGTAAGTGGGGGTGTTAAAGTCCCCACAATAGCTGTATTATTGTCTATCTCTCCCTTAAAGTCCTCAAGAAGTTTTCTTATATATTTAGGGGCTCCTATATTGAGTGCATATATGTTTACCAGAATTATATCCTCTTGTTGGATCTATTCCTTTATTACTATGAAGTGACCTTTGTTGACACATGTTATGGAGTTCATTTCAAAGCCCATTTTGGCAGATATGAGTATTGCTACCTCAGCTTTTTTTTTCTTTTCCGTTTGCATGGAAAATTTATTTCCATCTTTTCATTGTCATCCTATTTTTCTCTTTTGCTCTGAGGTGGGTCTCGTTGTAGACAGCATATAGTTGGGTCATGGTTTTTGCATCTATTTAGCTACACTTTGTCTTTTGATTGGAGCATTTGATTCATTTTTATTTAAGGTTATTATTGATAGATACTTTTATACTGCCATTTGTAGTCTGTTTGCCTAGCTTTCTCTCTCTATTTATTCTCATTTCAGCAGTCCCTTTAGCATTTCTTGCAATACTGTTTCATGGTGATAAACTCCTTTGGCGTGTTTTTTTTTTTTCCCCCGTCTGGGAAGCTCTTTATTTCACCATCTATTTTGCATGATAGCCTTGCTGGATATAGTCATCTTGGTTTCAAATTTTTGCTTTTCATTACCTTGAGTACTTCATTCCAGTTCCTTCTCGCTGGTAGAGTTTCTTTCTTTTTTTTTTTAAATGAATGATTAGAGTTTTATTAATAACAGCCAAAATTCAGAAACAAAATAAAATATCTATCATCTGAAGAACAGACAAACAAAATGTGATTATACAGTTGAATATTATTCAGGTACAAAAACGAGTAAAGCAATAGTAGATGCTACAACATTAAAACATGTTAAGTGAATGAAAACATACACTAAGGCCACATATTGTATGATTTCATTATATTAGTCGTCCAGAATAGGAAAATCCATGCAGTCAAAAAGTAAATTAATGTTTACCAGGAGCCAGGGGGAGGGAAGAATGAATGTGAGTGAGTGCTAATTGGTATGGGGTTTCTTTCTGAGTGATAAAAATGTTCTGGAATTAGGAGGTAGTGATGGTGCACCATCTTGAGATACACTAAAAGTCACTAAACTGTTCACTTTAAAAGTGAATTTTATGGTATGTAAATCATATCTCAATTTTAAAAACCATATACTGGTATGTGTGCCCACATATATACATACAGGCATACACACACTGCTTATTTTATCACATATATCACTTGATTATTTTCAAGCAGCATAGAATTTAAAACTGAAAATAACTTAACTTTATAGTTCATGCAAACATCTTGTTATAGCAAATGAAACTTGAGACATGGAGAAATTAAATGACTTA